TTTTCAGTTTCCATTTTTGGTCACATTATCTTGCCGCCTGCTTAGCCTTTTCGAACACGTTCAGTAACTCAGAATGCCGAAATTTGGGTTAAGCCGTAAAATGTAAGAACGTAAAGATGAGAGAAAAAGTAAAAAGGAGAAAAAGTTTGTCTATTTCCGGTTAATGCTAAATAGTGTTTTTTCAAATATTTTGGGAAGTTTTTAATCGCTAGAAGGTTACAAAAAAATTTCACAAATTTTGAGCCTGTTTGGTTGTTTTTCATACATCAGAGAACGAAAATTCAAAAATCTTTTTCATCGGTTTTTGCGAGCTCTTTCTATCTAAAAACTAAATCAAACGCACGTTCTTGCCAGCGGCCGCCCGATTACTGGCCCGAGTTCTAGGCATTTGACGAGAGAAATCGTAGGCGTCGCGGAGGAATTTGTTGAGCTCGTCGCTGCAGCGCTGCCTGAAAGTGATTAGCTGACTCGCTACTCTTAAAGGGATCAAGAAGGCCCAGGAAAATTTGAAAAAGACGGGCTCTGGATCTAAAATTAGCATAACTCATTTCGGCTCCCCCCTGCCTCGCCCCACTCTCTGCTCATTTTTTTGCATTAGGATTTCATTAGGATTACGATTTTTAGCTATTCCTAAGCATAAAAGCCTTACCAAATTTTAGGTCGAAAATTGATTTTTCGAGCCAAGATGGCCAAATGCTAGCAATTTTTCGACTCTTTCAAACTCTTTTCTAATTTTTTTTAACTAGTTTTTCCACTTTAAATATTGTTTAAATTCACTAAAAATTCGGTAAAAACACTTATATTTGACCAGGGTTGAAAAGCCGCTTCGCGACTTTTCAACCCCTGGCCCTCCCAACCAATGAAAGTTTACACTTTGCATAATTCGGCACGACCCACGCTGAAAAAAAAGTGAAAAATGCGCTCTCTGCTACTTTATATAGGCTCTCCGCCATTCCAGGGTATATGCTAATCGATCCCTAACAAAGAGGGTGCTGGATTTTTCAACGAAACCCAAAATTTAATGTCGAAAATAGACGATTTTGATAAATCTGATGTGTGTGCAGTCATCTCCTGGAGATTATGCACCTAATGACGTATCAAACATGACCCTAACTATTCTCCTTCTTGAGATACAACTGGAACAACCTGACGGAAGTTGCATGCAAAGTGTCATACACACACACACAAACACTATTTTTTTATATATAGTAGGATTACTAGGCCGACCAGGCCGGCAAGTAAAAAAATTGGTCCCCCCTCCGCGAATCCTAAAGAACCGTCACCTGCGGAAGTTGTAATCACAGGCCAAGAGCACGATGCTGGCCCCGTAGACGCCGATGAGGAGCCCCTCGTGGCTCTGCAGCATAACAAAATTCGGAATCGCGGAAAAATCGGCGTACCTCGGGGCCACGCCGAATTAAAGCCAGCCTGTCGAGGTCGTAGAGCCGGATCGGGTCCGTGCGCTTCTCGCACAATTCTTTTGGCAGCATCAGGATATCTAAAAAGAAAACGTAGGGCCGGAAATACAGTCACAGTCAGAAAAGCCTGAGCTAAGCTTAAGATAAGTCTAGGCTTCAGCTTAAGCCGAAACCCCAAGCCTAAGCCTAAGCTCTCTCTCTCTCGCTCTCTCTCTCGCTCTCTCTCTCTTTGTGTAAGCAACACCAACCCGGTGCAACTCCACGAAGTTGTTCCACATGCGGTAGTGGCGTCCTGGCTGTGGCGACTCCTGGGCGTTGAAGGTGATGTAATCGATCTCACGCTCGCGCCTCTCCCATTGCTGCAAAAGAAGTTACTGGACTGTTAGCGGGGGGGGGAGGAGGTTGGGCGGGGGATGGGAAACATAAATCATTTTTCAAGTAGCTTCGGAGTTTTGCATCTAGAAACACCTTAAAAACCATAAATCATAGTTTTCAAAAATAGCTTATTTTTGTATAATTTGGGAATGTAGAATTCGTAGGTCTGCATCCCCACGTCGATGAGCGTGTTCAAGGCCGGGACGACGATGCGGTGGAAATCCTTGAGTAGCTTGGTATCCAGGACGTACTTGTAGCTGCTATATTTGGTGCCCACTGAAAACGGATGGCTCAAAAAGGATTTTCAAATAAAGAGAGGAGAGAGATAGAGAGAGAGAGAGAGGAAAGAGAGAGAGAGAGAGAGAGAGAGGGAGAGAGAGAGAGAGACAGCAACCGTTACATAATTACTACCTTGCTTCTTCATACAGAAGTAGGCCACGATCGTCGGCGCCTTCACTTCGACGAGGCTGTCCATCTCGGCAATCTCGCGCCCAAAGTGGACCCACAGCTTTGACAAGCCCTCAAAAACATTTTTTTTGCATCAGATAGAGGCCATACCGGAACTAGAGTCATGATGTCCTTGATCGCCGACCGCATCTCGCCAACGTGACAGACGGGGCTGGAGTGAACGGTCACACAGCTCGGCTGCATTTCGGCTACAAAAAATGAGCTCAAACCCCAAAATCTGCATACCGATCTGGGGCCACAGGTCACGTTTCGGTCCGTCGATCGGCAGCATGGCAATATGGGCGCGAACGGCGGGGGCGGTGATGTACTTGTCGGGGCCGGGCAGTCGCCAGAGCCCGAGCTGGAACAAGTGGCATTTTATTGTTAGCCGCGGGCTAGGTGGATCGGTTCTGGACCGTTATCAGGGGGGGGGAGGGTGGGCGGAACCGAAAATTTTCCCTGTGATTCTCTGCGGCTCTATAATAAACTATAAACCATTTTTATAGAATTTTACATGGTTTTAGTTATAAAAACAACATAGAAAATTAATAGAAATTTTCGAAAATTTTTGACTTTGGGTCACGCGACGTGCACACAACGCACCTGGTCAAAGGTGGCGTTGTTGATCAGGATGTACAAGTCATCTATCGAGGCCATTTCCCGGTTACCGTCAGGCGGAACATGACGGCAGAGCCCATCCTCAAATGGCGGGTCGCCAAACACCTCGCGCGGGTAGCTAAACGTAACAAGTTAAATAAGGGCCGGGGTCCTGTTCTTTCTTCGGGGATTTGCGATGGGCTGATTGTTTTTGGAGATTCATTTGATGATACAGTCTTAGGAGCTAAACAATTACGGTTCTGGACTGTTAGCAGGGGGAACACGTTCTGTTTTTCCACCTATACCTTGCTATAAAAACAGTCTATATTTGTTATAGGGCCGTAGAGAATCGCAGAGAAAGATTTGGTCCCACACCCCCCTCCCCGATAAGAGTCCAGAACCCTATATGGCTAAATTGCGTTATATGGTCACTAAACGGATTTTGGATTTTTATATACCAAAATGCTCAACAGTTCGAGCTGGTTCAGGATCAGTTGAAAAAAACTATTGGGAAACACTTCTGGAGCGAGTTATAACACTTCAAAGTTGGCGTGTGGCCTATATGGTCACTAAACGGATTTTCGATTTTTATATGTCAAAATGCTCAGCAGGTCGAGCTGATTCTAGAACAGTTGAAAAAACCTTTGGGAAATACTTCTGGAGCGAGATATACCACTACAAAGTTTGGCGTCACCCCGGCCCACTACATAACGTTGTCGCCCCGGCGAGTCAGTTTTCGGTGTTGCGAAAAATGGTTGGGTTCGAAATGGGTTTGGCATGAAACTACACACCCGATCTGAGCCTAAAAATAAGGCTTCGTGCCACCCGGGGCCTAGTCGCTTCGGGTGGGTGCGAGCTCGTACAGGGTTTCGAAATGGGGGCGCCAAGGCCGGCGAAGCGGCCGGGGGCGCCCCGATTTCGAAAGAGTGGAGCGGCAGCCCATCCGAAGCGACGGCCCACCTTGCCTGACAATGTATTTTTTACCCTTGAAACGGCAATTCTCCACCATTCCGTTTCTTTCCGATGTACAGTTGGCGTATTTTGTTGTACTACGTACTACTTCAGGGGCTGAATGGACGGTTTGTAAGCTAGATATCTCGCTCCAGAAGTATTTCCCAAAGGTTTTTTCAACTGTTCTAGAATCAGCTCGGCCCGCTGAGCATTTTGACATATAAAAATCGAAAATCCGTTTGGTGACCATATACGACACTCGCCAACTTTGAAGTGTTATAACTCGCTCCAGACGTGTTTCCAAATAGTTTTTTCAACTGATCCTGAACCAGCTCGAACTGTTGAGCATTTTGGTATATAAAAATCCAAAATCCGTTTAGTGACCATATAGCGCAATTTTCCCCCCCTATATTATAAGACATTGTCGTGTGGTGTTGCGAAAACCGACGTTTTCCTCAAGCAAAGTCGGTCAGGCCGTCAGTCACTCAAGCAAATCAGTACAGTCCTTCCCCCCCCCCCGCAAAAAGAACAGTCCCGGGACGGGCTGCAACCGATTGACACCTACGTGTATTCATTCCCGTAGGCGAGCAGATATTTGCGCTCTGCCTCCCAGCGTTTCCGGCTGCGCGACAGGGCATAAGTCCTGCAAAACACCATTTCCGTGCAGGATTCCGGGCGATACTTGGCATCAAGTTCGCCGTAGCCCGACGACGTATGCTCGACGAACGACGCCCAGCGTTTCGGCGACGCCGTGATGAGTCCCTGAAATTTGCCATGCAACCAAGGTCTTAAAGGGCTGCCGACGGCATGTGTCGATCCCCCCCCCCCCCCATCAACAAATTGGCAAGTAGCCAACAGGGCAGGGAGCGCGCCCTAGGGAGAGGCGCAGAGACATTTTCTTTCCAGCGCGTAACCGATTGACTCAGCCATCGGCATCCCTTTAAAAATCAAAATCAAAAGAAGGTTTTTGGTGCTTTCGCATTATCGGGGGGTGGCGGGTAGGGATGGGGGGGTGGTCTAGAAATGTTTTCTTTTTTTTTGTATAAGTCTAGAAATGGCTAGTAACTTAATAAAAAGTGTTTTAGTCGTGTTTTTCGCAATATATAAGTATATCGAAAGTAGAAAAACTTCGACTTCGACTTCTTTTTTTAGTCGAAAAATCGATATTTTTTAGTATTTTTTGACAAAAATTTGTAAAGTTTTCCAGTTCAGGAATACTATAAAACCATTTAGAAAGAGATCCGCTATTTATATTTCAAAAAAGAGGTCTTAACAAAAAGGTGGGTTCCCCTGATAAAATCCCCCCCCCCGCCGATAATACGAAAGAACCCAAAATTTTTTAAGATATTTTGAACTTTCTAGCAATCAAAAATACGAAAAACGCCATAACATACACTATTTACTATTAGCAGGCTAGTATATTTTAGGTTTCTGAAATTTTGCATTTCATACTGACCTTGAAGAAGTCGTCGGCATACGCCAAGTTGAGCATGTCGATCGGGCTGAAGTGCTCCATCAAAAGCAGCCAGACGTCCTGCGGCATCTCCACAAACTGCTCGAACGTGATGAGGATGTCGGCCGCTTTCTCGCTCTGAAAATTAATGCATATTTAAAGGGGACCAGCGCTGACCCCCCCGCTACGCGGGGGTTCAGCGCTGGCCTCCCATCCCACACAACTTGAATTTTGATTTGAATGCAAAATTTGGATGAATTCCCGGTCGCACGGGCGCACGGACATTAGAAATTTATATATAGTAGATCTGAACTGTTAGTGGGGGGGGGGGATAATTTGTTTTTATGACGTTTTCAGGTGTTTTTAATCGGCAGGATTACAAAATACAATTCAAAATTCTAAAATTTAGACCGTTGTGCCGATTTTTCATAAATTTCTGACCAAAAATGCAACTCGCCAAAACGTCGACTTGACCCTTACCACACTCAAGAACCTAAAAAAAACGCTTTGCTCACCTGCGGCTTCGGCCTGACGGAAAGTGGCTTCGAGCAGGAGACGGCAGCTGAAGGGACGATCGCGACGGGGGGGCAAGATGACAGCCTGTAACGGCCGAGATTTTACTTTGGTAAGCCTCTGGAGCTTTGGGATAAACTAGTCTCTCACCATACCTACCTTAAAGAACCGATCGGCATCGGCCAAGCACAGCAGGTCGGCCGGGGTGAGCGCGTTCCTGACCAGCACCCACAAATCGAGGGGCAGCTTCTGGAACTGCTTGAACGTGACGAGGGGCAACTCGGCGGGCTTCTGCAATAGGCATTGAGGTGAGGCTCGAATGGGACGTATGTATAGTTGCTGCCGTGTCAGAAACAAAAAATCTAAAACTTGCAAAACTTTTTAAATTTTTCACCTTCTTGCCCTCGTACGAGCGATGCGAAGTCGGCATCTGGGCGAGGTAGAGGCTCCACCTCTCCGGGGGCGAAGACTAGAAAAAGGACGCCAGATTATCCAGGATCCAGAGGGCAAACTTAGGGATTCAAAACCGGAAGTCGATGCAAATCGCTGATAACTGGTTTGCGAGCCGAAAAATCCCTGCAAAAGTCGAGTTTCCGGTCTGTTAGCGGTTGATAACCTATAACGTATTTTTATAGCGTTACTAGTAATTTTTGCTTGCTAGAAAACTCTAAGAAAGATTTGCAAATAGCTGAAAATGCGAACATTCTTCTTTTTTGAACATTTCCCATATATTCCTGGCCAAAAATTAAAAAAATTGAGACTAAAAATAATATAAAAAAGCAGCTTTTATAAATTTAGGAAGACCTAAAACTAGGTAAAGCGTCACACAAAAATGGTTGTACTTTCGTGATAGCCCACGAACGGTACAGATCCACTTTTTTTACGCTTTCTGCAGTTATCCTGATTTGGTCTCCACCTACGAATCGATGCCTTTCTTTTCCAAAAAGACGCCATGTTTGTCTTTGCAGCTTTTTAAAGCCGGTTTTTGCTGTGTGTCTGCCTGTCGTCTTTTGGCAAGCTGAAAAAACCTGATTCGACGGCATCGATTGGCAGTGAAGTCAATAATTTATTTCTAGAACCCGAATGTGTGGAAACCGTATGGTACAATCTTTGGTATTGTGATAAGATACACGTTGAAAGGAAATTAGCCAGTCTTCGATTTTGAGGACTTAGCAGTAGTGGTTTTTATATTGCTTTTACAGTAGCAATAGGGTCTCATTTCCGGCCGGGGTCCCGCCACGCAATCGGCCGTTGATTTGTATTCATTAAGCCGGACCGGGTGGCCGGATGCGATGAACTGATCGTTGTCGTCGATGCGGATGCGCTGAAAAATCGATGATAAAGGAGAGAGTTAGAGAAAGAGAGAAAGATAGAGAGAGAGAGCAAACGTGCGAGAGAGCGGGAGTGCGAGAGAGGGAGAGAGTGGGAGAGAGCGAGAGATAGAGAGAGAGACAGCGAGCGACCTACCGCTTTATACTTTGCACTACTCGGCGCAGTGGTAAATGTAATTTCATACAGCTGTGTAGCCCGTTCTGGATTGTAAGTGGAGACGGACTCGATCTAGAAATCGCTTTTAAACATAAAAGATACTAAATTAAATACGCTAAAACTACGCTAAAAACGCCCCGTAACTACCTTTCCCAAGCTCAGCGGGGCGCATAAATCTGATAACATCTCTTGCTCCACATATTCGTTGATCAATCCGACCGCAAATTTGCCCATTGGGACGAAATTTCTAGAAAATACGGTATTTTTTTAGTTCAATTAGTGACTTACTTCTCAGTTTTATTAAATTCACATAGACAGTAATCCCCAGTGACCGGCACGTTTTGGCAATTCCTACAAAGCACTATTTTTAGAGATAAGGTTTTTTTAGCTCTACCTGTCCTCAAACGGCCCTCGCGGGCGCAGAATCGAGGTCCCATTATTTGGGTTTGGATTCAGAATCTGTTCATATTTAAAAGATGTGTAGTTTGTAGCGTGAGCATTCTGCAGGTCCAATGATTTTAATAGTCAAAGCTGCCGCTATACCTTTAAGATGTCCTGCAGCGTCGCGTAGACGTCAAAGTGGGTTAGCAGACTCGTCGAGTGGGCTTTGAGATTGGTCATCAGCTAAAACTCAGGTAATCTCCAAACAAAAACATAACTTAGGCTCGAAATTAAGTGGATGAATTTCATATCGTAAATTGATACCCGTTCAACGCTTGGATAATTAGGTTACGTAATCAGCTAAACGCGAAAATCTGCCGCCAAAGCTAGAACTAAAAAGATCATTTAAGTGTCGTAATCGGATATTGTAGGTAAAGCTAAACCTAAATTAATTACATCTCCTAATCCGATGAACGAAAGTGAGAAACTTCCAGAATTCCTGACCTCCTTGTTTTCCCTCAAAAATTTCGGAACCATCAGCATCAGCATCGGGTTATTCACTTCTCGCTGCCCCATTTCTGTGCCGGTGGTCTTAAAATTACCTTGATATATTTATAATTAAATCGGTAGATGATTGAAATTTTTTAAATTTTTAAGTAGAAAATTAAATTAAATTAATTTAAGACTTACCGGACCAATCCTCGGCCCATGATCACCCATGAAGAACACGAACGAGTTGTCGAATGTCTTTTCATGCTCTTGAAAATATTTCTGCAATGCGATGAATGATATTCTTTTAGATAATATGTATCAGAAGCTTACCAAAAAATAGTCGTCCGTGTGATAGAGCATGTTTGCGTTGCCGTGAAGTAGTGATACCAGCCAGGAGAGGCCGAATTTCGGGTTATCTAACATTTTTTTGTTTACTTGTGTGTAAACACTTTCTAATCGATGGATGAGGATAAAAATGTGGAAAACGTTAAATTAAAATAGAAAAAGCCAACTGTAGCAATGTATTTTTCAACAGTCTTGAAAAGCCTACGAATTTTGCGATCGAATTACAGATAGTTTTGGCCTTGACTGGCCCTTTAGAGTACGATTGACTACTCACTTTTGTACCCAGCCGCAAACTGCCCATGGTATTTCAATAATGCGTGCCACTCTTCCATACAATTTGCCAGCCTCTCCTTCTCGAACTCCTTGTCGACGCCAAGGATCCGGTTCAGGGCTCTAAATCGGGAATTTTCGTATGTTATTCTTATTGGAAAGCCATAATTCCAATATAAAGTATTTAAACTACTTCGATACTGACACGCGGCTGGAACTACTGTAAATACTACCATTAAAAGCATTTTAACTTACTCATAGCGATGATCCGTCGGCTGCTTCAAGTATCCCTTGCAATAGGGGTAGTAGAAGACGTCTCCCCAGTCCAGTAAATGGGCTGTTTTATAGCCTTAACAACGATAATTCGGGTTTTGAAAAAGTCATATTAACGGATAGGCCAAATAAACCATATTTAAACAACTTTCTAGCATTAAGATAGATTAAAACTCGGAAATTAGTAAAAAATTTGACTTTTTAAGTTAAATTTTAGAGCCTAACGTTTTCAAAAGCTGGGTGGTTTGACGAAACAAGGGCTTTTACAGTACCTTCCGCCGCATACTCGTGCATGATCATCGTTTCGTTATCCAGGTAGGTTTTGCAAGCCTTTTGTATGCTCCATTCGGCGGCTAGGTCCGATGCGCCGAGAAATCCACGAAATGACTCGTAGATGCGTTTTCCTAAAACGCAACGATTTTATCGTTATTCTATTAAAAACCGGAACAAGCACTAAGGAAACGAAACCCACCGAAAAGAAAGGCAAACCCGTTTGGGTGGCTATTATCAGCCACTCTATTCAAATGGTGCATAAAAACTCCGCCCATTTTTTGCTCGAGAAAAGTGAGGGTTTGTGGGATGGCTCTAAAGGATTCAATTCAAGGAATTACCAAGGGAAATCCATAACTTTTCGGGGTTTAAAATTACGATGTAAGACAGAGCTGCATTCAGGCCATGCTCACCTTCTCGCCAGGGTCGATGAACACGAGTCGATCAAGATGATGTGAATATCAGGGCGGAAATTTTTGTTCTTTTTGGCTTGGGCATTGAATCGCGGATTCGTAAGTTCCGTTGGTAGGTCGGAAGGAGGAGCGTCAGGGTCTGGAGTTGTGGTTTTGAACTTCGATGAAGCGTAGAGTTGATAGCTGAAATATGAGAGTTATCTCTCTTTCTTGCTGTCTCTCTCCTCTCTCTCTCACTATCATCCGCTCTCGTTCTGTCTCTCTCTCGCGCACACTCTTTGTTGCTTTCGCTCTCCCTCTCTCTCTCTCTCTCTCTTTCTCTCTCTCTCTCTCTCTCTCTCTCTCTTTATCCCTCTCACTCGCTGTCTCTCATGCGGTCGATTCCTGGCTCTAGCTCATGCTCATTGTTACGCTTTCGATGTTTCTTTCTCCTTGCTCTGTCTCGCTCGCTCTCTCTTTATTTATCTCTCGCTTTCCTCTTACTTCATCGGCTCCTCCAACAATTGAGTATGAACATATCGATCCACCCTCGTCTTCCCTTGATAACATTCTGCATAGATGATATCGCAAGCGGCAATCTGCTCCTCATCTGGCAACAATGTCATAATTCTCCCACCATCATGCCCCTCTTGCCAATGGTAGAAGGGACAGCTGAAATCTTAATAATTTTTCGGTATAACTGTTTTTCTACCGTATATCACAGTAATCGATCGGTTTCTTCCAGGGCTTGGTAATCGATATTTTTCCATCGCGGAGGGTGGTGGCTGGGATCTAAAAATTCGGGTACGGTACGTCAAAATAACTGTCATTTAGTCTAAAGGGCTCAAAAAAGAAAAGATTAGGTGCATTATGCTAAGCTACATAGAAATAAAGCAAACACGATTTTTCATGCCTTTAATATGTAAAAGTTAGCTTAAAAGAATACTTCTTTCAATGGTTTTTGCGTGTCGCGAGAAGAAGGTTAAATGCGTTTTATTTTTAACGCCCACAAGTGGTTTTTATGCTCTAAAAACTTACATAATGCGTATTACACTTCGCAAGCGGATCCTTGCTTTGATACGTTTTATTGGCCCCTCCACTCCAGGGATCGTGAATTGTTAAGACACATTTAGAAAATATTGAATAATCCATGGTGTCTCGTACAACATCTTTTGCATTTTGATCTTAAATTAATAACATTTTTAATGTATCACATTTTAACAAAAGAATATGTAGATAAAAGTGACTTTTTACGTCCATAGCTGGGGGTAAATTTTGGTCCTCGGCGAATTGATAGATCAGGGTGAATACGAAAGCGAAGCCCAGCAAGAATGGGGTAAAATTTGGGCTCATTTCCTAAAAGCGATGCATTAATAGACATAAATTTCATCTAAATGAAATTACCACAATTAAAGAATCGAAAAATACAGGAAATACTTAAGATACTATGAGCGGTTTTATGTCATGTTTAAAGAGAATGTCCTGGTCAAAAATGAAAGTAACCCGTGCACTTTCTTGATTTTTGGACTTGAATAGCCTTGACACGCTTCATCGACCACCGGGTGTGGCAAAGAGCGGGGGTTAAATAGTGTAGTGCGGCTTCGGCTAATTAAATACCGACAAAAAACGAGGGTGGGGGTTGGAATTTTCTACAAAAAAAAATTGTTTCGATGGCTTTTGGCTTTTGAATCTCGTTGTAAAGGTATTTGGAAGCCAATTCTGGACTGGAAAAATGGCAGGCGGCAGAATTCGGCGTTGAAGCTTCAGAAATGGGGCGCCTCCAGTCACGAGAGCACCTCTAGCACCTACAAAAACTGGACGCGAAGATGGACAGTGCCGATTTTCTTTGCGGGCTGATATTTTGAACAAAAAAGTAAGACCTGAACGGACCGAATGAGACGGAGATTGAGAGGGACCGCGAAAATAGTGAGAGAGAGAGAGAGAGAGAGACGAGCAAGGGAGGATATAGCTCAAAGATTACACCACTTCGAATTGAAGCGGGCTGGTTCTATGGAGAATTGACGATCTTTCGGCCAAAATCGAGTGGTTTTCAAATTTCAAAGAAACCCATTAACGCGCTTACAATACCTCGAAAAATAGCTTTTCTCCGGCCGATACAATGGCGCTGTTTGAGGACCATCATCGCTGTGACGCCGCCAAGCCCGTGGTGGTTTTGGCTCGGATTTTTACTCTTTGATCGACTCGTTGAAGATTTTTAAGTCCCAAAATTGGTAATTTTTGGAATCAAGAGAGAACGGGAAACACTACTAATTCGCTTATTTCTCTAAAATGTTTTTCTCTAATCTGTGGCTAAAAAGACAGGTTAATTTTTACCGACGCGAAATTCCGATTCTTACGGCAAGTCGAAGATCAAAACATCAAAATTCAGCTTCTCTATACAGGATACCTATATTTATTAAATTTTGACTCGGGCCCCGGTCGCGAATAACCTTTAAGCCCTCACACCTCCCCGCCCAGAGAAGAGGCGGGAGGGGTGGTGAACGCGTGGTGGGGGGCTGGCTAAACATTATTGCTTGCACACACTGGAATGGGAACTGCGGTGCCGCATTGTGGAAATATCGCTCAGACCAACATTTTTTTGGCTTGGTCTCTTCGAGCGCATTGCAGGGAAGGGCAGTCGGGTTCGAAATTCGCCGTGAAATTTCGGAATGGTGACAGAGTGTTATTTTAAAGATATGGTGCCAGGAAAAACTTCATGGTACAGCATCAACCCGACGACGTCAAAGAATTTATGATTATTTCGTCTCTCCCTCTGTCGCTCTCACTTTTTCTGAGTCCCTCTATCTCTCCTCTCTATCTCTTTTGCACTGCCTCTTTAACGTTCTCGCTACTCCTTATGAAAAGAAAATCATTGTAATGCCTGCCTTGTAAGTGGCTTTAAAGGTAATGTGAAGCGCTGTAATCGACTTTATAAACACGACAAATTATGGTTCCGGGGCTCTAAGAACGACCATTCCAAGCGGAATACCGGGCGTATTTTTGCATTCCACGTAGCTCTCGATACCCAGGTGAATTTTCACATTTCCTAGCTCCTTTCGGATGCTGTCAAATCATGAGAAACATCAGAAAGAAAGAATGATTTTCACGAAGAGCTGAAATATCGGGTGCTTCCTGGTTATCGGGGGTCGGTTATTTTAGCGGGGGTCGGTTGCGAACTTTTTTTCTATAATATCGCACGGCTCGACTAATTAAAAGCTGGCCGTTTTTATAGACTTGTGCGCCGTTTGAAATGGTTCTGGACTGTTAGCGGGGGAGGAGACATTAAGAAAAACGTCATAAAACATGTTGAAAAAATTTTCCTTTTTCGTTCTAACGTATATGAAAATGGCTAAAACCGCGCTATAACCCTAGGTTTCGTGACTATAGAATAAATATTTTAATAATTTTTGATTATCGGAACCTACTAAAAACAGTATTAAAATAAACTACAATTTATCACTAGGCAATTATAAGCTAAACAAAAAGAAGATGCCAACCGACCCCCGCTAAAGTAACCGACCCCCGATAACCAGGAAGCACCAAATATCGTACCATCGGTCCTAGCAGCGGGTGCAATCGAAATCAGACGCTCGCTGAACATCCGAAATTGTAATCTACAAACACACGTTATCTGGTGCTTATCGCGGTTTAGCACAGACAGATCGTAGAATGATTTTACGGTCAAATTCTCACCCTCTTTGTCACCTCTCCGCCACACCCACGGTGATATTGGGGGAGTCTTTATTGCGAAGGATAGAAAAGCGAGACGAGTATATGTATTCTTTCAGTAAAAAGGACACTTACAGTATTCTGGAGATGTTTCGCGCCATCAAGCTGGCTTAAGAAGCTAGTAAGTCTTGATCCTAAACGTTGTCGAGCTATTTAGCGAGGACAATGACACGCCGATGTACTCTAACTTTTACGTAAACCTACTAAAAACGGTCACTTTGAGCTGGGAAAACTTCTTTCAAGGACAAGTGATGCATTTAAAAATTTTTAGCGTCTATTTTTACTTCCGCAAAACCTTTTTTGTGCAGTGAACCCTAAAATTGTCATCTTTATAGCCACACCCTAGTTAAAAAATAGTACTTTGTCATTCTCACGTTCTGGTCACCCTTCGTAAGCAGCTTAAGTTTGCAAGCACGCAAGAGGCTTAAGTTTAAAATGAATGATAAGCGTCTGAAATTGCCCTCAAAAGTACCCCAGGAAATTAATCTTTACTTATCACAGTTAAGTAGATAATTGTCGTTGAAAATGCGGATTAAGTTGACGATAAAAAATTGGAATGTAGTGTCGAGTCGACAAAAGGTACCGGGGACCGAAATGTATGCGCTGCGGTGTCATTAAAGCAGCCAAACTAGCTATAAAATGTTATCAGGCCCTCCACATATACTAAAACTGCCGGATGTAAAGAAGACAAGCACTGAAATCAAAATTACGCATAACAAAGCTATCAAAACTAACCACTAAAAAACCACGAATCAATACACAATATTATGGTTCTTGAAAAGTCCGACTGATTACTAAATTTGACAGGCAAAAACGAAAAGATAAGAAAAAAAATTTGCATAAGAAGTACAACTTTAACTCTTGAAATTTACATACGAGATTAGCAACGCGGTAAGTTGCTGGATTGAGTGAAAATGACTTATCCTCACCCACCACGCACCAATGATACGGCGCGCCACGTACCACGTTGCTTTATTTTTGCTCGTCTACATGGCCGGCGCCAAGAAGGCGAAACATGTAAATTTTCTGGTTATACCTGGCTAAAGATTGCTTAAGATTCTTTAAAAAAAGAATGACTTCAGCCGAAATTTTAGGTTTTCTATCTCAGTTATTTGTATTTTTGCTATTTTACAATGCAATTTTAAACTATTTTTGTTAGTTAGAACAAGACGAACATTTTGGTACACTTTACAGCTCTGTAACACACAGGGGAGACGAGATAGAAACTTTCGGTGTCGGTGGGTGGGACTAGACTCTTACCGGGGGTTGGGGGTAAGAGGTGAACTTGTCTTTTACGGGGGGTGGATAAATTTAAGGTCTACTCCATCCAACAACGGCAAAACATGTGTTTCCAGCGCGACCCCGAGGCCATCCCCTGCCTTCTCGACATGTGCAAGGTCAAACCCCAGTAATCTTGACTTCAACTGACTTTACCGACCAAATCCTAGTTATGACTTGCTGGCGGACGATATGTCGTGCTCGAAAAGAGATGCCCCCAATTACAGCTTTTTGTGGGTTTTCGCGTCCGGAAGCGTTACAAGCCGCCTTGTTCAGCAAGTTCGGCTCGGTGCGCCGCCTGACATACATGAGGGATCTGACGGTGGAGCCGGAGAGGGAGGACCAGATAAGATGCACAGATGGAACCAGCAACTACCCAAATCTTACTGTAGGTAGAGAGAACGAGGAGAGGGAAGAGAGCCTTAGAGAGAGAGAGAGAGAGAGAGAGAGAGAGAGAGTGAGCATGATTTCCAGGACCACAAATGGAACAACATGACCTGCATTACTTACTCGGAACGGTACGGCTGCCTTGAATGCCCGGCCTCATGGACTTTTGACGAGAATGCGAGGTGGAGCTCTTACCGTACTATAAAAGCTACAGAAATGAAAGTTTAATTCAATTAAACTTCAAACTAAATTAATTGAACTTCGATATTGATGAAACACCATCAAAAATTTCGTTTTTCCGCCAAAACAGCCGATTTCTACCAAAATTTATATCCCCTTTTTTCACTACTGTAACCCACAACTTCAGGAATCCGCTCGACAACCGTACCGTCAACGCGACCGACCTCGACGTGGCGTCTTGTGTGCCCCACCAAACGATGGAAAACGAGCTGGCCATCGTACGGAATTACAAGGAGGCCGTATCGTTCGCGCTGCCCTCCGATCGCTACTGCCCGGCGTAGGAGATCCCGCCAGGCCATAAAAGTCCAATGGCTTTCCAGCTTCAAGTACAGAAACCCGAAGAGCGATGTATGCGACGGGAAATGCCTGACGAACTGCGAGAGGTGCCGAAATCCGGGGGTAGGTTTCGGGTCTACCCCCCCGCTACCAGACCAGTACCACTTTTTTGAATAGATTTGCGACCGTTGTGAGCCCGGATATGTGCCGACGGTGAACGGATGGGGATGCTTCAACCCGGCGACGGAGACATGCAAAGAGTTGGTGATGTTTGCTGCCGAGAGAAAGAGTGAGAGAGAGAGTGAGAGAGAGATGGTGAAAGATAGAGGGAGAGAGAGAGGGGGGAGGGAGAACGAGAATTTTACGCCAAAATTCCAGGGGCTTTTTCTATCGTGGGGGCCGCTGCTACCCCTGCTATATGGTGACCGACAGTTGCGCGACGTGCAATGCGGATGTAAGCTTTTGTGAATTTTGTAAGAATGTAAGCCTGAGGCTAGGTTTAGGCTTAGGCCTGAGCTGAGTCCTACGCATGATCTTGAGCGTAGGCCTGGGTATAGGCTTGGGCTTAGGTATAAGCTTAGGTTTAGGCTTAGAGGCAATGACCTATTTCGTGAATTTCAGTCGGGCCTATGCATAGAATGTGACGAAGGCTTTGTACTTATCCGAAAGGAATATGGCCAAATCTGTCTACCGATCTGCATGAGGTTGTTTAGGTTTTTAAGGGTTTCTAATGCCATTTTAGAGGTACTTACCACGATCCCGACACCCACGATTGCGTCGATTGCCCGAGCTGGTGTGCCGACTGTTACGGGTATGCATACAAAAAGCGGTTTTGGTACGACCAAATCATTTCCAGCCCCGGCGAATGCCAAGAGTGCGCGCCCGGACTGTTCACCTACGAAAAAGGCGAAGACGAGATGATTTGTCTCAGCGCCTGCCCGTGAGACCCGGGCTACGTGCTTACCTCACTTTTATAGCTACGGAACCTATCCGCAGTCAACGGTCCCGATGCGCTGCCTTCCCTGCGACCCAGCCTGCGAGACCTGTTGTGAGAATTGAGGCGTTTTCTCTCTATTTCTCTTCGTTTCTCTCTTTCTATCTCTTTCTCTTTCTATCTCTCTCGCTCTTTCTCTTTCACTCTTCTCTGCCTATCTCTCAGTCTCACTCTCTCAAAACTTTTTTCATATGGCCCCACCCGTCGTCACTGCTACGCTTGCACCTTCTTCGGCATCGTCACCCCCGATTTCAAGCTGGTCATCTTGCACTCGACGCCCATAAAGTCATCTTTCAACTTCCAGGCCGAGTGCTACAAGTTCATCCTCGACTCGTTGAAGAACCGGAAGCAACAGGAGCAACAGGAGCAGGAGCAGGACCGGGAGCGGCGCCATCTGGACTTTCAAGTCGTGAACGCCACGTCCAACTCGACGCACCCCTTAATGCTCTCTCCGTACGAGCTGAACGCCACGCTGTACTTAAACGACACGATGTACCTGAACGCCTCGGCAGCGTGGGCGAATTTGACGACCGCTCCTCCGCTTCCAACTATACCGCCCCCACCGCCCAGTCGTTCGGAGAGGATGGCCCAGCACTACATTGACAATGTGGGATTCTAAATTGGATCTGTAGTTTGTATCTTATGGCTTGTATTTTGTAGACTGTAGCTTGTAGTCTGTCAGTAACAGATTGTGGCTTGTGGCCTGAAGTGCATAGTTTGCAATTAGCAGGTCTTTGGAGCTCGGAGCTTGTAGTTAACTTGTAGTTTATAGTTTTTCGGTTTTGTAGTTTATACTTAAATTTTATAGGCCAGGAGTTTGTAGCCTGCAGTTTGTAGCTTGAAAATTAGCAAAAGTTTGTAGTTTTTACCTTATAACTCTTGGCGTTTGTAGTTGACGCATACGGTTTCCAGGTGGTTTTCCCGGTGACGGGCCGCCGTTTGACCATCTTTGGCGAGGAGCTGCCGGACTTTACCAACAAAAACCTCACCGAACGCGCCCGTGTCGTCTACTCAATTTACTTCGCGAACATCACCTACTATGACATGTATTGGGCAGAACAAGCGTGAGTTTATTAGACAACGCGATTGAGGGAGTGAGAGGGAGAGAGAGAAAGAGAGAGAAAGAGAGAGAGACAGAGGGAGGTGCGAGAGAGTAACGGAGATCTTTTGTTTCCAGCATCAACAAGACGCTGATGCAGCTCTACCCGACGTTTTGCCTCGACGACGAGTGCCTGGACAACTGTAACGAAAACATCACCACGCTGTTTCATGTGGGGTGGTTTAAGAGCACAAATTTACATCGCGTTCCGCGCAAAACCTCATAAAGCCGACCCGTACCAATCCGACCGCAACCGGGACGCGACGTTACACAGACGCGTTTCGTGTCGCGGTGCCGCTCGCAACCCAACCCCGAGATTTAGCCGTGCCCGGTGTGCCAAGAAGGCTTCAACAAAGACTTCCGCGGCTACTGCGTTGATGGTTGCCCAGCGTAGCCGATTGGTGATGCTAATTAGGAAATGCGACTTCTTAGGAGCACCTTCTACACACGCCCCGGCGATCTCGAAGAGGAGATGCAGGTGCCACGCGAGCTTCGCGAATGCATGCCGTGCATCGATCCGAGTAGATGCAAGCGATGTGATTGGGTAAGAGAGCGCGAAAGACAGTCAGTAAAGGAGAGAGAGAGAGAGAGAGAGAGAGAGAGAGGAGGGAGGGAGAGAAAACGGCAGGGGGAAAGTCACTCTTTTTCCAACTTCCTTTTACAGTACCCCAAAGTGACCTACCGGAACAAAGTGCGCAATTTCACCGGGCACCCGGCGTTGCTGATCAACGAGCCCTACCGGCACACCAGGCAGCAGGAGCTGGATGGCCCGTTATTCCGCAAAATTGACAGTTTTTAAACTGTCAATTTCATTGTCATTCTGTCACGCTCCCTTTAAAAAGGGAGCGTGACAGAATTCAGCGTACGGGAAATGTTCCATTTTTAGACCCCTCCATCATGCGCATCAAGTGCCTGGAGCAGGTGGACGATAAGCGGGAGCATAAGTGTTTTCCGGAGTGGGTTTTCTAAGGGTTTGTAAGCTTTTTTACTATTCCTAAATTTAAAGCAAATTTTGATGAAGAGTATACACAAAATAGCGCCCGATTTACCAAAAAGATCAATTATCGACCAAACCCCACCGAACATTTTTTTGAGTTCTTATGGTTTTTTAGGACTTAACATGCCGTTCAATAAAAACATTTTGTCGCGCTCCCTTCCCCCCCCCCCGATAAAGCGAAAGAACCAAACCAATTCCCAGGTTCCAATTCCTCGGCGCCGACGGCTACTGCTTGTCGTGTCATCCGGAGTGTATCGGATGCGTCGGCTTATCGGGCAGTCAATGCAAAAAGTGCCGGCATGTGATGAACTATTCGGGGGTACGACTAACAATCCTTCAATTTGCTGTTCATGTCCCGTTAGCCTGTGAATTTCCGTTCCAGGCCTGCATCTCGGAATGCCCGAAAGGCTACGTGGCGAAGGAGATGTTGCCCGGGTTCTGGGTCTGCGACTGGCCGCCGGCACGCGATATCCAAAAAGTGATGGTAGGCATAGAGAGAGAGAGAGAGAGAGAGAGAGACAGAGAGAGCTAAAGGGCAAGAGAGCGAGGACAAAATCCAAATCGAAAGATTGTTTCAGCCCTTCTTCTACTTCGACAGGCAGTACCAGCAAACGGGGAGCGTCGCGATCCTGGCCATCTACCCGCTGGTGCTCATCCTCTACTGCACCGTGCAATGCACAGCTTGTTGTGGTCGGTCTTAAACTAAATCATAGGCTTTTTAAAGCTAGACAGAAGCGTGAAAAGCGTACAACTTTTAGTGGCTCGGCGGTGCGGAGGGCCCGACAACGTTGAGCTGGTGCCGTGGGGCCAGGAAGAGTGGGGACCGTTGATTTTAGAATTTTTATTAATTTGATTTTATTACAGAAAAATCCGGCAGCACGCCATCGAGGACATTGCCTACGCCATGAGCCGGAGGAGGGCGATGCTGTTTGGGGATATGACATCAAGGCGCCCTGCTAGAATTACATGTAGGGGATTTGTAGCGCTCTCTCTATCTCTCTCGCTCTCTCTATCTCCTCCATCTACCAATTTCTAGCCTGCGACGTTTCCCACGACGACGAGCGGAACCCGCTGATGAACAAGCACGTGCTCATCAGGCGCGCTGTAAGCTTTTTCTGACGTCCCTAGTAGCATTGCGCACTTCAGCCCCGAATCAAGCCCGCCCCGAAAGTGTCGAAGGAGGTGGTGAAGCCGCTAAGTTGTAAGTTTTTGGGTTTTTCCAGGCCCTTTGAGCAACCCTTTAAACTCATAGTTTTAGTAAGCGAATCCGAGACTCAACCAAGCCACGCGAGCACGCCCGCTAAGAAGCCCAGAAAGGAGAAGCCCGAGTCGATGAAGAGCTACAAGGAGCTCCTCTTCACGCCACCGAACCAGGAGCTGAGCCTGTTGCTCGATGCGACGCCCGTGCCGACGGCGGTGGGTGGGAGAGAGAGCGAGAGAGAGAGAGAGAGAGAGAGACATTTTCTAGACCCCTCCTCCTCAACCAACCCAGCGCATCGGCGAAAGCCCCGGCGTCTACGTCACGTCCGGCCGGATGATCACCGACCGCGAGCAGAAGAAGCCCACGGTGACCCCGCTGAAATCGGTAGCCCCTGATGACACTGTTCAAAAACACACGCTCTCCTTCTTCAGAAAACCCCGCTCCGAACGGGACGCTCGGGCGAGGAGCCAAAGCCGCCGACACGACAACTGGACACCCCGGAAGTGGTGGTGCAGCAGCTACTCGGCACTGACCGGCGCACGGGAAGTCGACGACAGAAGTCGGAGCGTCAGAGGAGTCCGAAGAGGGTGGGTGGAGCTTGAGAAAAAGAGGTTTAAGCCATGCCTAAGCCATGCCTAAGTCAAGCCTAGGCCAAGCATAAGCCAAGCCTAAGCCAAGCTAAGTCGCGCCTAAGCCAAGTCTAAGCCTAAGCTTCAGTCAGCTCCAAGCCTCGTCCTCAATCGTAAACAAATCGCTTAAG